ACTCCGAGGAAAGAAGTGAAAAAGCTGAAACGGGACATCCCACACATCTTATGCAAGCTTGAGAAGATTTTCCCACCGGCCTTTTTTGAAGTTATGGTGCACTTGGTTGTCCATCTACCTAACGAGACACTTCTTAGAGGGTCCGTACAGTACGAATGGATGTACCCAATAGAACGGTGACTGGGCACATTGAAGAATTTCTTAAGAAACAGGGCCAGGCCTGAAGGATCGGCTGAGGAGGCTTACTTAGAAAGTGAGACGTTGGCATTTTGGGAGAGGTTCATGGACGATGATGTTAAAACAAGATATAACCAGGACGACTGTTGGCGCAAAAATGTGGCGATGCGATCAATACACAGCAAGCCAGACGATTTGAATGGAATGAGATTGGAGATCTACTTAGCTTCAACATAGGACCAGTCGATTCTGAAAATCCAACGGCGTGCCAGTCAATTTGACCTGCAATTGATAAGGAGAGAAAGTCTTATAAGTAGTATAAGGCAGAACATGTCAGTATTGCTCCAGATAGTTCCAAATATGTGGCTAAACAGCCGATTCGATGGGCTATCGACTAAATAGTTGATATCCAACATATTAGTAAAACAAAGATCGTTGAATTAAAGATTATCGGCTAATATCAATGATGATAGTATGAATTCAAAATAACCGATATTCATGGGTCATAGCGATTTTATTATGATTGATTAATCCAGACAAAACAAGTACAATACACCCAAATATAAGTAATATAAAGAAACTTCATTAGCTAGATGGATATAACCAGTGTAAAGCATTGAGCCGATAAGTTTAACGAGAAAAGATATAACATGCGAACAAATCGACTGTCTAGTATAAATGAATCAACAAACGCTCTGAATCTAATTTGTTACCATCAACAGTGAGGTTCGATCGGATCGATACAACTATGATAATAATAACGAACTAAAGCCAAAGAATCTATAAAACCATCTATATATCAATAGGTTCACGAAAACATGCTATATGTGTGAAAGCACAGACGAATCGGCTAAAATAGCCGATGCATGCATAGCAAATAAATAGAGTACATGTCTCGATCATGAACAAAACCACCAATCTATAATCTCTAATCCAAAGTCTTACCAGTGAGGTTCGATCGGATCGATACAGCTATGGTAGTGTCATTAGATTAGATCTCATTAACTGGTGAGTTTATTAAAGATTAGAACATGTCTTTGGATGCATACTATGTTTAATTGGAATAGAGATAAAATAGCCGATCTAGCGGAGTTAAGTCATCAATTATAAGATTCAAAGTATGACCAGACTAGAAGACGACCAATTAAGATGATGTGATACCGATTCTATCTCTATCTCAATCAGGTGATTTGTTATAGTTAATAAAACATTAATTATAACAAGATCGATAATTGACGAATCAACCAAAAATAGCAGGGAAAACCTTACTAATCTTAGCAGATTCGATAACTGGTGATATTGTATTAAACAACAAGTTATTTAACTCAAGATCGATAACTTTAATCTATATTATGGTTCGTAAGAGATCAATTAGCTGATGCAGCCTTAGAGACTACGATACAAATCGATAACTAGCTTATATTATGGCTCATAAAAGATCACTCAGCTGATGCAGCTTTATAAGCATAATACAAGTCGTGACGATACTTACAGACAAGCCGAATGTCGATCGGTTGATGCAGCCCTGCTTGTTGAAGAACTCATCGAGTTTCTACAGTACTCCTACTCCTAAGGGTTGGCGTGAAGCTAGAAAAGTAATTATATTGATTGATTGTTTGTTGTACAATAATCGGGGTCCAATATTTATACCCGGAATCTAAACATGAATCCTACTCAAATACGACTCATTACAATTCTTGGAATAAAAGAAAACATTCCTAAAAAATAACTTGGACCCTAATCTTTTCCTTTTTATAGAGTCCGACATATTTTTTCCCCGACACCATCCATATGTAGTCCATTGACGTTATCTGCTGATGTCATCCAAAAAGAGCCGATCCCAGTACCGCACCTGAATCAGCTAATATCGAACCTTACACAATCGATTCATTGATGACACAATTCTGGAAGCTTCGAGTTTTCACGTTCTCCTTCCCAAATTTTGGTGTAAACAACGACAATATGTCACATGATGAGCCAGTAGATAGTGACACCTCTGTTTTCATGTATGGTGTCAAGCCCATTGGCAAGATTAAGACAGTCAACATCGATGATAAAGCCAAAATCAATAAGCTAGTTTGGTATGTGCTTAATAACTACGACGAGGTTGGACCATATGTGGAGTAAGTATGATTTTTTATATACTAATTTGTTGTTTCCTATATTACGTACGAAATGTTACTAATAATAATGCTTACATGTGCTGCAGAATATACAGACAAATTTTAGAGGAAGAAAGGGCAAGTAATGATGTTGATACTAGGCTAGCAACAGAGTTTCCAGCGTGATTTAAGTCTCATATACGTGATTAGCATATTTTAGTTCTGTTAGGCCGATCATTGATAGAATTATACGACAACTTAGTGGTGACGGTGGTTTCATGTTTGTGTGCAGATCGAGGAGCTACGTAGAGAGAAACCAATAGAGGTCAGTGAAGGTTTGTGTGCACTGTCATGTGGTCCTGATACCCGAGTCCGGGTCTGTGTAGCTTGCAGTATTAATAGAGTCAGGTGTAGCACTGTTGACCATCACTACTAGATTTCGACCCTATTGCCACTTGACGCTATTTGTATCACCACAAATTATGTTGTAATAGGGGTGTGTTTTGAAACATTTATCCAAAAAGGTATTGTGTTGCCACAAAAATAGTGCATTGCAATTTTTACGTCCGACGTTGCAAGAGGTGAGACCTATAGCAACACTTTTTTGAAAAGTGTTGTTATAGGTTAAAAATATTGTCATGATGATATTTCCTTGCATTAGTATTGATTGGCGTTGTAACTGTCTGGTGCTCTCGCAACTATATAGAACAATATTGCTATTGCTTGAAATTATTGCCACAGTGTCGTTGGGTTGTAATATTTCTCATGCCCATTGCAATAGGTAGACCGTGTATTGCAACTAAATTTCCAAGGCGATGCAATAGTTCGTTTCTATTGCTACAATTTTCTTTGGTTGTAATATTTCTTATGACCATTGTAATAGGTAGCTGTTTATTGCAACTAAATATCTAAGGCGATGCAATAGTATGTTGTTATTGCCATAATTTTTTGTTGTCATAGAATAGACATGTCGTTGCAATATGGTATTCTATTGCAACACTTTTATTTTGTAGGCATTTGGGTTCGTCAAACTAGCAAATCATAGAACGTGCGCCAACCCCTTGATCTAGAATGTGATCGTGTGGATCCAACATATACGTCTGGTGCCCTACACAACAAACACGGGTGCCCTTGATCATCGGGACGTTGCCACCAGCCCACGCCATCCTACAAGCGCCATGGCCCCAGCCCACCCATGATCTTGGTCATGCCCCTCGCGTACTAATAAAGTTGTTCTGATGTCTTAAACTCTCCCATGTAGTCTTGTGTAATTCTAATTCAATTTGGTTATGATTGTTAGGAAATTCTAAATTATATATTTGTTGGATGTGATTATCATGAAGTTCACTGGATAACATGGTTTCTTGCACTTTGATTTATAATCTTTGGAAGCAATCCTAAGTAATATAATATTTAAAAACAATCTCCAACTTGGCCGAGTCCACGTTAGGACCCAATTTAGCTCAGCCCACAAATATTTAATAGGAGATTGCCTGTGAGTTGCAATAGGACAAAAAATGCACAAGATGTTTGGTAGCCAAACTAAAATCAAGATTATGATAATTAAATTTGCATGTGTTGTACCATATTAATGACAAAAATATAATTGATGATGAACTAACACATGATTAAGTGATTAACCAAGTGTTACAAGGTTACAATATTATCACAAACCAACATATCACAGACACCTTAACCCAAAACCAACACATCGAGGTCAACCTATCACTCATGATTACGAAGATCACCAAGACTTTTTTTTGCTAACCTACTTCAAATCTGCATAGTAAATATACCAATTCATATATGTACCAGCCACATTTTTTATTCCTAGCCTACAGAATGTCCTTAGGAATAGACCCTCCCACCTCCTGCAGGGCAAGCACTCCATGGCTCTAAAAATGTATCAGTCTGAAAATCAAGTTAAATCTGTACTGCAAACTGAAAAACAAAGAAACAAAAAACACATTAGTATTTTGTAGCGCAGTCTGAACATCGCACTACTTTGAGATTGAACATAGCTTGCATAACACCACCCCGGTGTATCTTATACATGACAATTCATGTAGAGAAGCAAAAAAACCACTGAAAAACATGTGTGAAGCACTACCCAGACACAAGCTGTATCAAACGTGTGAAGAACATCATGCATCTTAGACAAGACCTGAATCTACTGGATGGTGTAGCTATTTTTTTTGTTAAAAATGGCACTAGAATCCTAGTGTCATGAAATGCTGCAGCTCTATCCTTTGTAGAATGCATGATGTGCTGATGAATCATCTGCAAATTTCATATGGTCTGATAAAACAGTCATATGAATGATATAGCACTATGTTCGTATATTACAGATAGACAGTCATATAAATGATATGGAGTCCATTTTGGTGTTAGATTTCTCACTCAACTTCCTCCATGGTATGCACATAAAGTAACTTATGCTATTTTGATCATTTGATTACTATCACATTTTCTGTTTGCAGTGTTTCCTATCCTTTCTGCAATGATTTATTAAAATCCCTTGAATCCTCAAATGGTAGTTGGGGCAGTATCCTCATTGTATAGAAGGTTTGCCATGTACAGAACCTAGGCATTTGTGCTGCCTTTTTTTCAGAGATTAGAGAAGGATGAGGAATTTCTTCGTCCCCGCTCATGGATTGGGAAATTCTGACTGACGAGCAGCAGAATTTCTTGAGGCCGCTGGTTGCAGCAAGGTACGGCCCTTCATGGGATTGTGAGAATCTCATCGTCGTTTTTCATGGCTAACTGAGCTATAAACCTGAACAAAACAAGAAGAGTTGTTATTTTTTGTGGCTAAGATAACTATAAACCTGAACAAAACATGAAGAGCTGTCATTTTTATGGTTAAAACAATGATACTTGAATCCATAGTCATTCTAGCTGCCCAAACTAAATAATAATGAAGTTGCCACTCAGTTTAAATTTCAGAAAGTTACCTTTTTATATTTGTGGCTGGCACCTCTCCTTCCAAAACTCTGAAAGATAAAATTTGTCATGTATGTGACACTTGAATGACGTCCCAAGATTTAAACATCAAGTAGAGATCTTAAGCGATTGAGTAACCAGCCACAATAAAAGTTGTCTGGCTTGATATCACGATGAAGAAACACCCTCGTGTGCATGTGCTCTACCCTGGCTATCTGTATGAAAACAACAGGAAGGCATTAACTTGGAGAAAATCCACCAAATAAAAATTAAAAGATTTGAGAATTTGCCCATCAATTTTACAGGTATGTTGCCATACAGGTAACAAGAGATATTAAAAAACAAAAATGATATGACCCGAATGAGAAACTAACCATCTGATCAGCTGCAATCAATAGGGACGAGGTGTTGGGGATGGGCAGATGGAGGGCATCTTGATGAGAATCTATGACGACAAGAGTTATAGTCAATTAATTAACCAAATAACTGACTGAATTTTAAATTGGTCAAGAGTCAAGACATTCATTCAAGTCATTAGCTAAGCTCAAGAACATTACAGCAAAGTTGTTCGCATCAAAGTTTTACCAAAGTTTGCAAACTCAGGAAAAGATAATCAGGTCAGGTACCAAACCAGTTAAGAAATCAAAACCTTTTCTAATCCCAAACATCTTAAAAATAGAATCACCAAACGCCTTTCCTATATTTCCTCAAACACCTGGTCGGCATTGCATCAGCCAGTAGCAATGATCGCAACAGGCCGCTGCCGAGATGCGAGCATGGGGAGGGATGAGCTGCACGCTGCGCATACCTCGATTGACGATGATGTCCACGCGAAGGTCATGGTGGCGCCCGGACGCGCCGCCGCATCCCCACGTCACGGCGGTCATAAGCGATGGAACCGCAATGGCCACACTGGAGCAGCTCTCCTTCCCCGCCGGATCGAGGTGCCCCTTAGGATCGGTGCTTCAACCCCCTCCACAGACCAGAGTGCGTGGGCTCTGAGATACCCAATATGCCCTAGCGTCCGTCCTTGTCATGTGATGGTGTGGAGGCGATGGGGGTGACAGCCGGCTTGGATTGCTGTGGCCTGGAGCGGCCGGCAGCCGTGCGGCGCCTATGCCCTGGAGCTCCAGGCGGCTGGGGTGTAACCATACTAGATGTATATTACTGGATCACACAGATACACAGGTAGCTAGCCTATCATGGATATGGTAGTAATCGATCTCGAGCAGATGCTCGCCGCCGTCTCGGGCTCGCCTGTTTTTCGATTACCACCAAATCGAGTTCATCTTGAGCAAGAAGAAGGCTATAAGTAGAAGACAACAGTGGCAAATGGGCCTAATCCTAGTTAACCCATTCCAGCCCATTGAGGTTGACGTTGGGCTCCTATTTGCTGAAACAAAGACCTTCGTAGAACCCAACTTCAATATTCACTGACATCCTCTTCTTCGGTGTAACAATAGCTAGGTATATGGCATTCCCCCTTCCTTGAAACACGGCTTGTCCCCAAGCCGTTGCAGTGACATCCTCAATTAGTTCTGAAGCACCAGGATCCCATGGACTTTCCAGTACTACACTGTTTGATGCTGTTAGATACTTTGTGGGCTGTAGAAGTGAGCACCAGGTGTATTCAGATTCTCTTTTCATAGCAAGTTTTGCCATAATCCATGTTTTTCCCATCTCAAACATTTCATGTGCAGCACAGATGCTGGTGCAGAAACACAATTTATCCATGCCAACAGATAGAACAGGTCTGATGCTGAAGTAGTGGAACGCAGAACAGGCAGTTGTTGATTGTAGGGAAATGGCCAGAGTGATCATTAACTGCTGACTGGTATCGCTCAGATTGAGAGCAGATAGCCAACACACTGTATGCTGCATGTACAGATGTGGAGCAGCTGCAATTGGGATGATTGAAATTGATGCTTGAATCACCAGCACTGAAGGGGTACTACTTTCACAAGATGTATAAATTGAATACACCTTCTTAAGTGCATATACTGCCTCAGTGCAACCCATAGCTCTCATACAAGCAAAACAATCCCCTGCCAGATTCAAGATATAGTTGGGCATAACTCCAAGCAGTTGCACAAGTGATAGCACTGTGTTCTCTGATGGGGTACTAGCAAGGTTCAGAAGTGATGCCCAAACCATATATGGAGTTAGATCAAGGAAACTTATCTGGTGTTTGCTCCAAAAATATCTGATTAAATAAATTTCCCCATTCAAGAGCAAAGAAGGGTGGGCCTGGTGCAAGCGGTAGAGTCTTACCGCCTGTGATCGGAAGGTCCCGGGTTCGAGTCGCGGTCTCCTCGCATTGCACAGGCGAGGGTAAGGCTTGCCACTAACACCCTTCCCCAGACCCCGCACACAGCGGGAGCTCTCTGCACTGGGTACGCCCCCATTCAAGAGCAAAGACTTGACTGCAGCTAGTATCTTGGTGAAAAGCCAATTCTGATAAAAATTTGACAGAAACAGATCGACAGCTCCTCTTCTATTGCCCTTATCAACTTGTGAAGCACTTTTAAGAAACTGAAACCAACGCAGCTTTCCCTCATCAACTGCAGATTCAAACAGCATGAGAGAGAGTACTGTTGCAGCATTGATCTCACTCGAATACCTGACATAGTGTTGCATTAAGCACTTGGAGGTACTCAGCATGTCAAGCTCAACATTAGTAAAGAACTCCTCTCTAGACTTCGGAAGTGCTAGAATGCCTCTGGACTGCTCCTTCTCGGGCAGAAATGCAGCCATAGTTTGGTCAGCGATCATATATTTCTGATTATTATCACATAGGCTGAGAGCAGACAGTAAACACATAACATGTTGTGCCGGTAGTGCAACTGGGATGTCGAGGTTGGCATCTTGGTCAAAAGTAGTAGCCGAGGAAGCTGACGCCTTCAGAAGCAATGCACAAGGCCCACTCAAAATATCCTTTCTGCTGTCAAGCAATCTCATAGATATGACTACGCTAGTAGATAATAACATGATGCCAGGATCAAAGGTGAGTAGGCAACAGCTGTCCATGCATGACTTGTTACTAGAACTGGATGTATCTGGAGGGCGCAAAAGTGACAGTGATGAGACCAAAAGAACCCAAGTCCTGAACACCCTTGCAAACACCCATGGAGGCCATGGCAGTGATCTGAATGACTGAATATGGAAACCAAACAGGCAGCAGTATCTCGCAACCATGGCAGTATGACTGTTGATGATGTATCGTTTTGGTGTGTCAAGCATCATCGGAACACAGGCATACCAGTACAGGCGTAGTGTCGAACACCTGGTGGGCGAGGCGATGAGGAGCTTGGTGACGCTGAACTGGAAGTCGAGAGCCACGTCCTGGCTAGGAGTGGAGGTTGGGGAAGGGGCTGGTAATGCCGAGGCGGCCGTCGCCAGGTTGCTGGTGGTGGGGTTGGTACCCAGGACGGCGTTGCGTGCGTCGGCGTCGTAGATGATGAGGAGCGGAGCAGCACGTCAGACGGGGCTCCAGCGACGGGAGAGCACCGCGGTGCGCGCCGCGTCCTTGATGGGAAGGCGAGAGACGATGTCGCGTAGGAGCTAGTCGGGGAGGCGGCTGAGGCGATCGACGCCTGACTGGAAGTCGTGATCCGTGTCCTGCGGTGGTGCCGAGGTCGGTGAAGGGATGAGCGAGGTGGCGGCAGGCTCGGCCTCTGTCTCCGAGTCGGAGATGGCGAGGAGGGAGTACTCGGAGGCCGCCATGCGCGCAGATCTAGGCGACGCGGAGGAAGGCGAGGAGGCGGAGCACGGGGAGGAGGAGCCGGCGTCGGCGGTGAAGATGGAGGTAGAGGGAGGTGACGAAGGCGACGGCGACTGCCCAGCAGGGCTATGCCAATGAGCGTTCATCTCCTCCAGCTTTGCCAGAATCTCGGCCAACATCTCCTCAATCGTCGTCATGGTGGTCACGAACTCCGGCACGGTGGTGGTGCTCCCTGGATCGCTGTGTTCTTGCCATATATTTTTTCTGCCACTGCAAATCAGCCAACAATATTTTTAAGTTATAAGCTATCAGCCAAACGAGCAGGACAATAACGATACTAGATGTATATTACTGGATCACACAGATACATAGGTAGCTAGCCTATCATGGATATGGTAGTAATCGATCTCGAGCAGATTGCTCGCAGCCGTCTCGAGCCGCAGCTCGCCTGTTTTTCGATTACCACCAAATCGAGTTCATCTGCAGCGGCAAATGGGCCTAATCCTAGTTAACCCATTCCAGCCCATTGAAGTTGACGTTGGGCTCCTATTTGCTGAAACAGAGATCTTCTTCGTGGAACCTAACTTTAGGCCCCGTTTAGATACGAATTTTTTTTGCTTTTGGTACTGTAGCACTTTCGTTTGTATTTGGTAAAAATTGTTCAATTATGAACTATTTAGGCTTAAAAGATTCGTCTTGCCAATTACGGGCAAACTGTGCAATTAGTTATTCTTTTTACCTACATTTAATGCTCCATGCATGTGTCGCAAGATTTGATGTGACGGAGAATCTTGAAATTATTTGGATTTTTGGTGGAATCTAAACAGGGCCTCAATATTCACTGACATCCTCTTCTTCGGTGTAGCAATAGCTAGGTATATGACATGGGGGAGGTGCCCTGATGTGGGGAGGCAGCCAGCGGCTTGGAGGCAGGAGTTGCTGTGGTGGCAAGGAGGACGGCGGCGGCGGCCAACAGCCGGAGAACGGTGGCGTCTGCTCGTGAGGAACCTACGACGGCCTGAGCGGATTTTTTTTGAGTTGAACGTGGAGGCGGCTGAGGAAAGTGAGGAGGGGATTTGAGGGAGAAAGGATAACTGGATAAGGTCGAGTGTGCGAAATTGTGTGGTGAGCATGCGCGGGAGGGAAAACAATCGGCGTGCCTAAAAAATGAGCGCGCGGCATGGCGGGAAGGGGTAAAAATCGGCGCCGCTAAAAATCTGGGGGCAAAAAACTTGAAATTCCACGGTGGCTGAAAAATTTTGGGGCAAAAAAAAAATTAAAACTCCACAACCGATAGAAAAGATGAGAACTTGAAAGTTGAAACATGGTTTTAGCATCATAAATAATTTTAAATGAAAGAGTTATCAACTACAACATTGCATGAGCATGATCATTCTCTAAAAAATATACAAACTTACATAAACTAATTAAATCCATAGGGTTGTTATAAGAACCCATGGGTTTACATAAAATGTATATATAAGCTTGCATAAGATATATGGGTTCACATAAAAAGTTAGACCCTTGGATTTGAAATCTTGCCCTCACATTATAAAATTTTACCGAAATTGACTAGGATTTGTTGTAGATGATTTAACGTAACAAGCAACTACTTCATGACAGTTGGCACTGCCGGATCAATATGTGGACCCCACGTCAAAAGCTAGACCCTAAAAATAAAAGCTCACGTTCACACTTCAAAATTATATCAAAATTGATTGAAATTTGTTAAATAGAATTCAAAATGTTATGAAAATAATATGTGCCAATTAGCACAAGATCTGCATGTAGGCCCCACATCAGAAGTTAAACCCTAAAAATAAAAGCTCGCGTTCACACCTTAAAAAATTATTGAAATTGATTGAAATATATTGGATAAGGTTCAAAATGTCATGAAGCTAGTCTCTGCTAGTTAGCACACGAAAATATGCACATGGGTCACACCTTAAAAGCTAGGCCCTCCCTGTTCGCTTGAACTTATCAACCGGCTTATCAACTAGAATCTACAGTGTTTTTTTTCACCATAAATTAGCCAAGGCCGGCTTATCAGCCGACTTTAATACAAGCCGAACAGGCCTCAGCTCACGTTCACACCTTAAATTTTGATCAAAATTGACTGAAATAAACAGGGGCCTTCACCTTCATGAGCTTGTCTAGGCTGTACCGCTACAGCTCTTGTCGGGTTCACACTGTGTGCTTGGTTCTCGGGCTTTCTTTAGTTACCTCAAAATTCAAACTTTGTCACTATGAAAAAGAAGATTTTCCGTCACATCAAACTTGTGGTACATGCATGGAGTATTAAATGTTGATGAAATCAAAAACTAATTACACAGTTTGGTTGTACTTTGCGAGACGAATGTTTTAAGTCTAATTAGTCAACGATTGAACAATTATTATCAAATACAAACGAAATGCTACGATACGCGCTACATGATTCGGGCGGCGCCAACTTTGGTCCCTCGTCACTTTACTGCCAGCGCTGCCAATGCCATGGCCGTGGGTACCTGACGAGAATACAGTGATTCTTTCCACGTCAGTCAAAAAGCCGAATATCTAGAGTTGCCATGGAGCTCTGGTGGGATGCGGATCAGAGCGGGAGACTGAGGACAACGACAGGCGTACCTAACAAGAAGCGGCTCCGAGCCGTGTAACAAAACATTATCTAATTATATTTTAGAACATGTATTTTATGGTGACGTGTTTGTTACATAATTTGTGTAAAGACGTTTTTAGTTTTATACATGTCTTGTGTACCGATTTGAAATTTTCTTTCTATTATATATATATATATATTTTTTTTTTGTGTAATTCTCAAAAAAATTTATATATAGAACAAAAAAATCAGTTCTTTTTCTATATATAACTGACACATACATGATTTGTTAAATGTGGTAAACCTTTTTATTTTACAACTTTATGTTAATCAATGTGTTTGGGCTTGTAACCTACTCCTTTGTGTTTTTTTCCAGAGGTTTTATGTAGAAAGTAATATGTGATCATTTAGAACTAGTCAAATGGACGACTCACAATTATTTGGAAGAGCTATAGCAAATCCTACAACTTTATCTCTATGGTGATGTGTGCTAGTTAAGATAACGGGCTAAAAGACTTTCTCCAAGCGTTTTTTGAACTCTAGATTTCCATACTATTGCCTATGGAGTGTGAGCTAAGGGTTTGGCGCCTATGGATCAAGGCAATAGAGAAGTAAGGCTAAGGTTGATGGACTACGAAGGCCATGTGAAGTTATGAAGAGTACCATATTATTCACATGAAGTTATGAAGAGTACCATATCATTCATGCGGAATATGACCATTGAGCAAAGGTTTTGGCGTGGTTGGCTACACTCAAGATGACCATTGTTCATCATGCAGAAGATGATGGAGATGGCAGTGGGATGATATGAAGTACGTGGTTTAGGGTATATGCTTCGAATCTTTGCTAGGCACTATGCCACCTTATTGAGCTAAAAGTCGGAACAAGCAAGGCATCTGGATTCTTAGGTAGCTCACCTCGAGTTCTATGCTGGCAAGGATTTTTCTTGCTAGGGTGAGCTAGCCAAATCAGCTCACCTAGGCTGGCAAGGTTTTGCTTGCCCAGCTAGGGTAGACGAGTCTACCTTGTCAGGAACCGCCTACCTCGCTAGGAAACCAAGTGGCCCCCTTATTCATCATATGACTAGAATATTTATATGTAGTTTTTCTTGCTTGGTAGAGGCCCTATTCTTAGGCAAATCTTGGGTCCGCCATTGTGTACTTCGATGTGCGACGCCGATGTAAATTGAGAAGTTAGGCCTCAAAGAGGAATCAAGACATGCACCAATATTTTTGCATAGTGAGAATTGCTGAGGCTCCTAAAATGTTTTGGCTCTACTAATGGTGATATAGGACTATTTATTGGAACTTAATAAATTTCTTAATTTTAATAATACCTAAATTTTCTTACAAAATTTTGAATTTGGAAAGACACAAATTTGCTAAAAAAAATAGCCAAAAACACTATACGGCTCTCTTCGGCTTCCCTCCTCCTTGGGGCTGATACATTTCATTTAGCGCCAAAAAATTTCGGCATTTTGAAATCAAACCCGCCTAAAATTCAGCCCAAAACGCACCGAAAGCCCACAGGCCAGTTATAACCAGATACACTGCGAGTACCTAACCATAAATTCACATTTGTTTCCATCGTCTCTCCCCGCTACCCAGGCCCCCAGCCGCCACCGCCATTCACGCTTGTAGGAGCCGCCGCCGCCGCTCACGCTCCAGGCTGCAAGCCCACTGCCGCTCTCGCTGATGGAGGCGGAGGAGTACGGAGAGATGATGGAGAGCGGATGAAGTCACGTTCGCGCTCGACGGGCTCCACCCCACCCCGCCGTGCAGAAGCGGATGCGGCGGGCCAGCCTGCTCGCGCTACTCGGGATCTGCGCCTCCGCCGAGCGCCGCCGTGTGATCCGATCCCAAGGGTGAGTTCATCAAAGGCGCCTCTTTTCCCATGTGCTCAGCCAAGAACATCAACTAGGTTCTTGCTTATCTTTCTTGGTAATAATCTTGACCGGAAAATCGAGAAGCGTGGTGATTTTCTTGTTCAGTTAGGGCTAAAGATTAGGGTTTCTTTGAGAAAGGAACCACCTTTCTGCCTTTGGATCATGGGCTTCCTTTGTTTGCTTGGTTTCACAATAGACGGCTATTTCCTTGCCCAAAACACAAATATTGGTGTTATAGTTCAATGATTTCCTGTTTGTTGCTTGACATGGACACGAACTGTTATTTCTGTAATATTGTAGAACTGACTCTGTTGATTCCAACAAAGCATAAGTGTCACTTCCTTGTGTTCTAATTTTATAAATGTGTTTAAGAAGTATGCATGTGCATTTGAGTTGCCTAGGAACATTTTCTAGCAGATTGGTTTTTTCTTTAGCTGAGAGAGTGTATCTTGCATGGTTCCTGAACCAGTAGCATGGTTAGTGATTAGTAGTGCCTAGAAAATGGTCTATCTTGTTTGAATTATATTTGCTCAGCTCAAGCATCATTGTAAGTTATCTGAAGTATGCTGTTTGGTAGAAAGGAAAATTATTGAGGTGTAGCTAAATATTTCTCCTTAGGCATATACGCCTATCTTGTGATCTCTGGGAATTATTAGGCGTGCTTCCATTTGGGATCGAACAACAATGATTATTGTCTTGTAAACTAAAAGTTTCACTTC